GGAACTAGGGCTTTTTTTTTTTTTAATTGGAGTATAGTTGATGTACAGTGTTGTGTTAGTTTCAGGTGTACAGCAAAGTGATTCAGTTATACATATATATATATATATATATATATATATTCTTTCTCAGATTATTTTCCATTATAGGTTATTACAAGATATTAAATCTAGCTCCCTGTGCTGTACAGTAGGTCCTTCCTTGTTATTTATCCATTTTTCACGTCTTAGAGTGGTCTTCATCGCACAGATGAAAGGACTGAGGCCTAGCAAGGAGCAGTGATGTGCCCAGGATCACCTGGCCCTTTCCTGGCAGAGCCAGGAACGGAAATAGGTCACCTGATTCTGGGTCCCGAGCTCTCCCCACACTTTGTCCTTGGATGAGGCTTTGCACTGCAATTAAGTGCCTTGCCAATCCCTTTCTGCCTTTGCTCAGCCAAGCGCTGGTTTAAAAATTAATGAATGCTTAATGGACATTTCTATTTCCTGTGAGTTAAGCCAGGCTTTTTTTCTCTTCTCCTCTGGTAGAAATCCGACATCCAGGACAGCGTCTGTTATAAGACCCAGCTCTACCAGATAGAAAAGTGCAGGCCCACCAAGGAGCCCTATGAGGTGAGTGGCCCCCAGAGCAAACCCCAGGATCTCTTAGGAAGAGTGGATTTCCGTTCTGGGGGGAAGAGGGGAAAGGAAACCATTTATTGTAGGACACAGAAGTAGCCAAAGACAAATACTTACTTAACTGAGCCTTTGAGAAACGGTTTACAGCGGGGCCACCATCGTTCAGTCTCTAGACTATGGTTCTCAGCTGTGGCCACATAGTGGAATCCCTGAGGAGCATTTTAACATCTGGATGCCCAGGCCGTACCTCAGACTGATTCCATCGACCCATTCTCGATCTCCAATGAGATCGGGGGTCAGTATTTTTTAAAGCTTTCTGGATGGTTCCCAGTGGAATCAAGGTTGGAATCTGCTGTCAGATCTCCAAGAGGTTAAAAACGAGGTGCTGAAAAATATGTGTATGTAACACTTGGCATCAGGAGAACAAAGTACAGCGAGGAACAGGAAAAAGTATCCGGATCAGTCCTTTCCAGTCAGCTCTCCCTGGTGACTTGATGCTACCTAGAAAGTACCTGAGAGAACATACCAAGATTCTTTGATTTCAGGGTAAAAACTGGTATCATGTCGTCCCAAATGTGGACCCCAAATACCTGCTTGTTAAGAGACTGTGCCTGGGAACTCGAGATCCAAGGCCTGGAGCACAGGGTAAGGGTCCTCCCACCAGGACTCCTCATTCGCTGTTTTGTCCAGTGGGGCCCGCCTGTCTTCTCAGTGCTTTTCCGTGGAATATGGAACGAGCCGGGCTGCACTCCATGGCGGCAGCAGAAAGCAAGTGGGACACGGCCCAGGCCAGCCCAGTGACACCGGTGACGGGGCTGCTGAACTGCCGGCTGCACGTGTAAATGCGGCCACCCCTGAGCATCGAGGCGGGGGTAGGCTGGGGTAGCTGCAGGAGGAGGGCGAGGCTGGTCAATCTACACAGCCTGGGGGATGGCACCATTTAAGGAGGCAGAGAAAAGGAGACGCTGATGACAGAGAAGCTAGCGAAGATAACGGGGCAGCCGGAGACCCAGGAGGGAAGGATGCCAGGGAGGACATGGGAAAGGTCAAGTATAAAGCAGCCGATGGTGACAGCTGAGCGGTTTCTCGTCCTGGAGGAGGTGAAGGCAGAAAGGAGACTGCGTGGATTTGGGGGAGTGAGGACCGTGAACAGAGATCTCTCCGTCGATGCCGCTGGCAGTGAAGAGAGGCTGGGGAGCAGGCGGGCTGGGAGGCAGAGGAAGGAACTCCAGTGATGGGGGGGAAGGGCATGCATTCAGAGCAGCCATGGTGGGCCCTGGCCTTGACCCCAGGCTGCAGGCCTCCTTCCTCTGTGACTGGCTGTGAGGCATCAGCATGATGAGGATGGAGATAAGCTTTTGGAGGGGCAGCAGGGGGGCGCGGACTGGGGCTGGGCGGGGACCATGGCTTCTAGGGCTGGGAGAGGGAGAGCAGAGATGGTGTAGGGCCAGACTCCCCTGAGCTCCACACCCCTCCGGCCAGTTGCTTCCTGAACCTTCTGTGGCGTGAATGAAGGCGTCTCAAATCCAGCACGCCTGGAACCGGGGCTGCCCTCTTTACAGGAACCTCGTCCAAGGTACAAGTTAAATTCCTCCCCCATCTCCCCCCACCCTTGGCCCCTATTTTCTGTCTGCAAATGGCAGCCCCACCCTCAGTACAGGGCAGAAACCTGGAAGACCTTTGTATTCCTTTCCCTCAACCCGAGAGCCAGCCTGTCGCCAAGTCCTGCTGGTTTGACTCCTGAAACTCTCCAACCCCTCCACTCTCCATCCGCCCCATCCTTGCCACCATCACCTCTTGCGTGGACCTCAGCTGCAGCCTCCTTCCTAACTGGTCCCGTTCCTCCCCCGTGACTACCTGGCTCTCCGTCCACACAGCGGCCAGAGCGAGTGATTCACACTCAAATCAGACCACGTCACTTCCGCGCTTGAAACCTTCAAAGGCTTCCTTAACCTGGAAGGCAAACTCTGTGACGTGGCCACCACGTCCCGGATTGAACTGGCTTTGCCAGCAACTCCAGCCTTGTCTCCCAGGCCCCACACACGGCCCTGCTTCTTGCTTTGTGCTCAGTCCCATGGGCCTTGAGACTCTGTGCTCTCTTGGCTGCCAGGGCTGGCCATACCCTGTTCTCTCTTCCAGAATGTTCTCCCCGCCCCTCTCTGCTGAGTTAATGTGTATCTTCAGCTCCCACGGCAGGGTCATGTCCTCGTGGACCCCTGCCGTTCTCTGACCTCTGCCATTGTGTTGCATCCCTCCAGTACACACGGTCACACACATTCTGCTTCCTGGGGCTTGTCGCATTGGCAGGGTTCTGTTTGTTCAGGGATTATTTGATTATCATGTCTTCCCCACTCTGGACTGTGAGTTCCTTAAGAGCAGGGACGGTGTCACTTTTGCTCCTCACGGTGTCCCTAGAGCCCCTACACAATGCCTGGCACCCAGTAAGCCTCGATAAATATTTGCTAGATGAACAAATGAAATAATCAAGTGGACCTTGGCTCTAGTCTCAGAAAATAGAATTGGGCCAGCATCTGGGGAAGGTCGAACATTCCAGGTGGGACACCTAGCTTGATTAAAGTAGGGGACCACCTGCATCATAGCGTGCAAGTCGAATTATCATCACCTGATGGCCATGCCCTGTGGCAGGGAGGGACCTCTTACAGTCACTTGCAGGGAGGGTGGGCACCTCGGCTGGGGTCCAGGGGATACTGAATTCACTGTTAGGCTCCCCTGCCTCTTGGTTTGACTGTTTAGGGCCTCAGGTAATAACACAAACTTAGGCGTACCGCATGCCCCTGTGTGTGTGCCCTAGGCAGCCTCTAAGCCACCTGGCTGACGCCCATGTCCTTGGTTGCCCTGTACCCTGCCCTGCTTGTGTGTTAAGTGTCAGAACCGTGATGGGAAAGGGGCCTCTTTTTTTTCATCCGGATTATTATTCTCAGCTGATTATTTCATTTGGCCCAGAAAACACATAGTAAGCATTTTAAAACATTTGTCGAAATATTTAATGGTTAGGGTTTCAATAGGAACACTAATGGGAAGACAGCATTTCAATTTTCTGTGATCCACTTGTTTTCTCCGAACTGCAGCGATCCTTGTGCTAATTAAATTACAGGCTCTGACTAGATGATGCAACTCCTCTCTCTGTTGGAACCTAGAAAGTGGAATGGGGCCAGTTAGAAAAAGTGGTGAGAAAGTCTGAAAGAAGCCAGATTTTCCGGGTAAAGCCCACTTAGAGCCTCTGTGGGGTTCTTCCCAGTTACCATCAGCTGGTCCAGGAGGAGAAACGGCCAAGTGACAGGGGCGGGAGGTGTTGTGAGCAGGAACCGTGGAATGAAGTTCAAGGTTGTACACAAGCCGGCTGGGGAGTGGCTCCAGGGCCATGTCCGGGCATTGAGAGCATGTGATGGTCTCTTTGTTCTTCTCGATCCTGGTTCTTTTTCTCCAGGGAGACGGAGGAGCTGAATTAAGTGGAAAGAGCTTCCCTCTTGGGACTACAGTGCTGTCATTTTATGACTTTACCACTTTCTCCCCCTCTTCTTCCTGTAACAGGCAGAGATTATGTCTGGAAAAGTGGGACACTTGTCTCACCTTAGGCATGTGCCCCAGAGATTCCTTTTCCTAAGATAGAGGCCCTGGGGCACCATGGGGGTCGTGGCAGAGCAGTCATCATTTCTAAACTGGCTTATTAAAGCTGTAGAGAGCCAGGAGCCAAGTTTGTTTAGTCTTGAAGAATAATGCTAATTTGTAGCAAAATGTAAGTTAGAATTAGTAACACTGCAGTTCTGGAAGAAAAGCTGTGCACGGGTGTGGAGGGACTGTATTAGTTTGCTAGGGCTGCCATAACCAAGTCCCACGAACTGAGTGGCTTAAACAACAGAAGTGTATTGTCTCCCAGTTCTGGAGGCCAGAAGTCCAAGGTGGAGGTGTCTGCAGGATTGGTTCCCTCTGAGGGCTGTGAGGGAGAATCTTTCATGCCTCCTAGATTCTGGTGGCTGCTGGCAATCTTTGGCATTCTTTGGCTTGTAAAAGCATCACCCCAATCTCTGCTTTCATCTTCACATGGCGTTCTGTGTGTGTGTGTGTGTGTGTGTGTGTGTGTGTGTGTGACCAATTTCCCCCTTTCTATTAGAATACCAGTCACATTGCACTAGAACGCACCCTGATGACCTCTTCTTAACTTGCTTACCTCTGTCAAGGTAACACCAACACTGCTTCTTCTCAAAGGCAAAGGAGAGCAAACTTTCATACTCCCCCCTCCCCCAAGCTTCAAAGAGGATGTGATGGGCCTGTCCTGACCCTGTCTTCAAGTAAGGCCACATTCTGAGGTCTGGGGGTTAGGACTCCAGCATATGAATTTGGGGGGAATAAAATTAAACCCATAACGGGGACTGTAAGTTTAAAGGTAAAATATTACAATGATTTTTCTTTGTGTCATTTTAAAATCTGTACTTTTTTTTTCTTTTTTTTTTTGCGGTACGCGGGCCTCTCACTGCTGTGGCCTCTCCCGTCGCGGAGCACAGGCTGCGGACGCGCAGGCTCAGCGGCCATGGCTCACGGGCCCAGCCGCTCCGCGGCATGCGGGATCTTCCCGGACCGGGGCACGAACCCGCGTCCCCTGCATCGTCAGGCGGACTCTCAACCACTGCGCCACCAGGGAAGCCCGTGTACAAATTTTTTAAATCAAGTATGGAATCAGGTCAAGCTGAGTTGTTGGAAATCAGAACAGTGGTAACCTTTGGGGACAGGGAGAGGATGCTGGGAACGAGGGACTTCCAGGTGCCAGCTGGGTTCTGTGTCTTGATCAAGGTGCCATTTTGATGTGTTTTCACTGTTTGAGGAAATGTATTGAGCTCCTTACTCATCATCAGAGCACCCTTGTGTTATGTGTCCTAGGCTTTAATAAAAATCTTACCTAGAAAAATCTATCGAGGGCAGGCATTAGGACATCTGCTGCCTGCTTCCACGACAGTTTGGCTTCTTGTCTATAAACTTTGAAATGGAGAATCCTCAACCGGAGCTGCAAGTGGGAGGGGGTAGAGTTTAGGAAATAAACAGCAAGTGCGGCTTCTTGAATTGTTGAAAAATGCTGCTTTTTACAGGCCTCCCTGGGCACCTGGACAAGAGACCTCGAATTTCACGCTGTGCAGGTAAGAACTTGGGGGGTTATGTTGGATTAGTCAGAGTTCTCCAGAGAAACAGAACCAATAGTGTGTGTGTGTGTGTGTGTGTGTGTGTGTGTGTGTGTGTGTGTGTATGTGTGTGTGTGTGATGCTTGGATACCCAGGGAAGGGCTGATGTTTCAGCTTCATCCCCATGTCTCCTGGAGGCAGAATCCCTTCTTCCCCAGGACACCTCAGTCTTTTTCTCTTAAGGCCTTTAACTGATTGCACGAGGCCCACCCAGACTGTAGAGGTTAATCTGCTTTACTCAAAGCCAACCAATTTAAATGTCAGTCACGTCTACCATATACCTTCACCGCAGCATCTAGACTGGTGTTTGACTAGACACGGGGTACCCTGGCCTAGCCAACTTGACACATGAAAGTAACCATCACATATGACCCTGAAGGTTGGCAGATCTCTACCCAGGGCTCTGGACCCCGCACGCCTCCATCCTGTCCTGAATTCCACCATGCAGAATCCTGTTGTAAGTGTATTTGTCAGAATCCCTCAGATCAGATCAGTGCTGTCTATGCGTAGTTCACCATTTTTTTTATTGTCTTGCTAAAACTACACGCTTGGCTATGCGTTCGTGTTTCTACCTGTAAAGAAGTGAGGTTTGGTGCAGTGGTTGAGAATCTGCCTGCTAATACAGGGGACACGGCTTCGAGCCCTGGTCTGGGAAGATCCCACATACCGCGGAGCAACTAGGCCCGTGAGCCACAATTACTGAACCTGCGCTCCGCAACAAGAGAGGCCGTGATAGTGAGAGGCCCGCGCACTACGATGAAGAGTGACCCCCGTTTGCCTCAACTAGAGAAAGCCCTCGCACAGAAACGAAGACCCAACACAGCCAAAAATAAATAAATAAATAGATTAATTAATTAATGAGGACATACTTATTCAACATCATCCTCTATTAAAAATAAAAAAGGGGCTTCCCTGGTGGCGCAGTGCTTGAGAGTCCGCCTGCCGATGCAGGAGACGCGGGATCGTGCCCCGTTTCGGGAGGATCCCACATGCCGCGGAGCGGCTGGGCCCGTGAGCCATGGCCGCTGAGCCTGCGCGTCCGGAGCCTGTGCTCCGCAAATGGGAGGGGCCACAACAGTGAGAGGCCCGCATAACGCAAGGAAAAAATAAAAAATAAAAAAAAATAAAATAAAATAAAAAAGAAGAAGTGGGGTTTACAACAGTCCAGGGCTTCCCGGCTCAGTGGCCTAATTTATGAACCAAGTCCTCTTTTCTTCTCAACTCAGTTGGTTGTTTCCTATGGCAAAATCAGGCCTCTGTGGCTTTCCCTTATGGGATGGGCAGGAAGGAACCAAAATCAACCAGCAGACAATACCTGGGCCACTGGGCCGTCCCAGGTGTCCACGATCTGCACCTGGTTCTGATGTTCCAAACAGCCAGGTGAGGTTGTCTCATCATCAAGGGGACACCAGGCTCCAGAAAGCCCATGCTGAGCGGACTTGAAGGCTCCTCAAAGAGGACAGCTGTAGCTCGCCTCCAGTCCCCTGGCCCCTCCGCTGTGCCATCACTGACACTCTGTGGTCAGTTCTGCACTGCGTGAGGGGCAGGTGGCCCCGCTGGGTAGCACTTCCTCCTGCAGCCTCAGGGGTGCACCCAGGAGGCGTGGCCACATCTGTCCTTGTTGAATGAATGCCTTTGCCTTTCAGACAGTGAAGCGGGCGAGATGTGGGGTTCATTTTTATAACCGAAGAGCTTAGGAAGGACCCACCCTTTTGGTTATAGATGGGGAGGCCCGTCCCTCAAGGGGAAGTGACTTGCTGAAGGTCACCTGGCCATACCTTCGGGAGCAAAACGGGAAAGGCAGGGGGAGGGCTGCGGCTTTTTGGAGCCAGGAGCCTGGAGTTGCAGGGAAGAGTCTAAGGGGACCCGCGCCCTGGAGCTCAGATCTCAGAAGCTGAGGACTGGCTCCCCCTTACCCACCGGCCCGGCTGCCGAGCCTGCAGACACCTCCCTCCCGTAGCCCAGTGGATCCTCACTCACTGATTTCTCCCTGTCCTCCATCAAACAATCCACGACATCCAAAGAGTCTTGGGTAGATAATCCTTTAAGGGGTCACATTTTCAAAGTGTCCAGCTTTGTAAATGTCCACACACATGTGTGGTGGTTGGAACATGGTTGAAAGAAAACAAGAAGCTGTTTTGTGTGGGACTTGCTTGTGGCTTCCTCTTGGATCTGCCTTGGGGGTGCGGACTGAGCATGAGGGGGCAGAGAAGACCCCTGAAGCTTCAGCTCCATGGCCCAACATTAGGCGCACGCGGGGGTAGGGGCGCACCGCCCTCGCGTGAGAATCAGAGGGAAACCAAAGAGACCTGAAGGCAGCCAGTGTTGCTGGGTGGGGTGCGTGGGAATGGGTGCAGGCGTGTCAAAGGGGGAGCATAATTAGTCCTTCTGAAGATCTGTTTCTGTTACATAAGGCAATTTAGTGTCCTGCTCCCTGGGAAATCTCTTTTGGAGAAAATAGGCCATGCAAATGAAAAGGTAGAGTTGGATGATCAGTTGCATTTGTAACCTGTGTTTGGAAGGCATGAGGATGGCTGCTTGTAAACAAACTCGTTTCCTGGGGGCTGGTGACCCTTCCACCAGGACTGACTGACCCAGGGGATTGTCCCGCATAGGGAGCGGTCCGGTGATGAACTCTTGGTATCTCCCAAGAAACCAGTCACTGTGAAGTCACCCAGTCTTTTTGGCTGGAGAAAGGTGCTCTGAGGGTTATGGAGGAACCACCATGGTTCAGGATCCTGGGATTAAGTTCAACAGGGGGGCCTGAGCAGGGTTCCCTGCAAACTTTAGTCCTAAATCCATGTCCCCTTTCTTCTGCCCCCATCGCAGGCTTTCTGCTCATTGCCAAATACCCCTTAGTCGGTTGTTGGAGAGATATCTAGAGCCAACCTTGGTCTCTTCCTACAGAAAACTCTCATACCTTGTATACCTCTTGGTTCATGAGCTCTATCTGGGTGGTGATACTGGCCCCCCGAAAGTTTGCATCTGGATCCTTTAGCTTTGAGAACCCACGGAGAGTTAGGAAAGGGCTGAGTCGGA